ACCAAACAGAAAATGTCAATATATTAATGCTAAGAAATATTGATTGTGATCTGAAGATTACAACATGAACAATACAGAAATTGAAAAGCAAAAGAAAAGAAATAAAAAATTCAAGAGATACATACAATACACCCATGATACTTTTTATAATGGACTGGAACTCATCATCAGTGTATTCACGGGTTGGAAATGGGACTATTCGAATGTTTGACGGACCATAACTCATCCATGGCACTTTAAGAGAGGAAGGTTTGCCAGAGGGCAAAGATGAAGGAAGTTCTATATTTTTGGTGTCAGATTGTTGGGCCGCAAAAATTATAAAGGAATCCAGAACTTGCTGGAACTGCAATAGCATAAAGGCATAAGAAGAATGGACTCACATTTTCACAAATATACATGCAGTTTCACCCACAATTTTATTGAAGATAAGGGGCTTATCAAGGCAGAATCAGAAAATATTTTGTGAAACAAAAAAAAAATTGTGACAATATTTAACAAGGATGAAAGTTAGAAGTTGCACTATTGTTTAATAACAATCATTAAACTTATTAAAGGTCAATACATCAAGTTTCAGAATCATTGAAGATTGGTCTGTGAGTGGATATCATATTAACATTTGAATAATTCACCATTACAACAAATATATGAGTCACACAATGAAACACTAAGAGAGTGTCTGAGAATGGACAAGCAACAACATATCAGACGCCAGTATTGGTATAAATAAACCCTATCCGACCAACATGAGTAAGCCCTATGTTTGGGAAAAAAAATATCATACTTGGCACCAAAGTTTGAGTATGACACAAACTACACTTGGCTCAAAATTATGATTCTTTTGGAACAACATATAGAAAGACTCTAAAAAATATACAACGTACTAACAATTTATGTGTTACTAGAGACAGCATGTGATATTATTTCTATTGTGGGATTTACATACCAAAATTTAAAAAATCAATATTCTGTAAGGGATATTTTTTTAGCCACCAGCATATAGATGAATGAGTTAAGGAAGAAGCCAGGAAAAATGACTGTCTATTTCTGTGCCACTAATCAGTTGGATTTTCACCTTAACATTCAGATTCAGAAAACCATCACCAATGATCTACTTAAACGAATGTTAAAAAATAATTATTAAATTACTTTTAACTAGACCCTAAATAAAAGAACTAATAATCCAAACCCAACTTTTTGTATAGACAAATTTTGGGAACACAACGGGAGAACAAAAATCTTTTTAGAAAATATAAATATAATTATGACAAAGCTCCATACATCAACTAAAGTAACAAATAAAAGTAAGATATCAAAAATTAATAAATGGCGAAGGTACGAAGCAACCATACAGTTAAGAAACCGCTGAAGCTGTATTGCATTGTTGGTATTGTATTTACGCCATGATGGATGGATTTAACATCAGGAAATCCTGAAACTTGATGTATTGTAGGTACGAAGCAACCATACAGTTCCAAGTCATTAAGTTGGGGACCATTTGCATCCATGATGGATTTAACATCAGGAAATCCTGAGAAAGCCCATGTGTGATTGAGACGTATGCTATAATCAAAAAATTGGGGACCTTGGTCATGAAATACTGCTGCTTCTTTGATTTTTGGATTCGAGCAATTCCTAAACAAATAGTTCAGTTAATCAGTGACACAGCTAAATTTAATAATGTGACTTCTCATAGAATCAAATAGACTTGCGTTGTTCAAAAAATAGCCATCCAGTGATCACACAATGGCCATCACATAAGAAATACAGTATAGTAAGAGTTTTAAACTATAAGCATAAGTCACAGATAACTACTTAAAAAGAATAAATTAAATAATTATAAAATATAAAATAAAAACAAAAGCAAAACACATTTTAATTTGTAAAGTAATTAGAGTGTGCAGATATTACAACATACCATAGCCAATGTAATATCTCCAGCACAGTTATCCACATTATGATAAACATTTAATTGGTGCAGGTATGATAGTTGGCTCCTTTTTTTTTCAAAAATCATGCATGCATGATTAGACCTCACATTCAATTCATGAAGACGTGTGGATCATACAGATAATATCAGGAAGCCAAAGCCACATCTAAAAAGATGAAAACTATAATGCACTGAATCAATGCTTCACGCGAATCAAGCATACATGAATAGCAACAGTCATGTAGTCCAAGAGATCACTAATCTGCAAAATATTAGGCAGGAAGCATTTGACCAGTACTAGAAAACCATCAAAAGAAACAATTTTGGTAATTTGCATTTCTCCACTAGTCTTTCATACTTCTACAGTCCCAACTATAATCGAAATTCATTTCAAGGGAATTTCCCTCAGATCCATACTGTGATACAAAAGTACGACTTACATTATTTGATTGCAGGTACCATAGAGATATGAGCCTATATAGGTTTCCAGCTCCTGTTCATCTTTGTAAACTCTAGAAACATTCTGCAAGTATGAAATGGACTTTATTTAGCTTGAGCCATGAAAACCCTTGTGA